TCTGGAGCACCCTTAACTTGGTAGTTGCACCAGGTGGTTCCACTCCAATCGGTCGCAATTCCAGTTTTCGGTCGTTCGCCGCGTCGGCAGTCGCGATCGGCCGATGAGCAACTCCTCTCACTCTTTCTCCTTGATTTCTACACTGTATAGCCACTCCTTGTGCCTGCAATCTGCAACAATGTTAATCCGATGAGATCCAGTCAGGGTAGATGCACAAAAGGAGCTGTGGATGGAGAACTCTGCTTGGTGGAGATCCTCCTTCCACTGGCACTGAGGATGTGCCAGCCACAAAGCTGGCTGCCACTGTTATTCAATCTCCACAGCAATGATTGAACAACTTACTCTTTGCCTTGGCACAATCCACACAGGAAGGCTTCGACTGTGGGGAAACTAGTGCTACTAAGGCTGTATCTGGTCAACTATCCTTTCATTACTTCTTCTTCTTTAAACTATGCTAAAATCAACTGAACACAAAATCCTCGACAGCACTCAGCCATGCAGCTTTGGCTCTCTTGCATCTCATTTGGCTGGTGCTGGCAAGCTAACTTTCTATATTGGTCTTGGCTGAAGAACTGCATCATCCTTGGGTATATAGAGTTCCTCAGCTATTTCTGTATTGCCAGATGGCTGCACTGCTGACCCTACTGTTGGAGTATACAGATGTCACAGCGATTCTTCCACCTGGCTAAACCAGCACAGCTGCTTCGCACCACAATGGGAGTTCACGTGGATTTCCACTCATCGAGGAGGACCTGTCACCTACAAGACACTCTACGATGACCCAACACAAAATCCTCTGGGAGGAGACTTCACCACCGCCCAGAGCAGAACGACAAGGCTGATGCTACAATGGAGGGCGAACAACAACCCATCCACGTCCGCGGAATTGCATCAAGAAATGCTAGATGACTTTATGGCGCATATTGGTGGTGTGGCAGTCTTAGTACAAGACGGCAACACCCCTGGTGGAAGATTGCACATCCTTCATGGTTTCCTACGCCATCCAGGGGACCCAGGTGCCCCTCACTGGAAACGAAAAACTCTGCCAAACAATGAATTTGCTCTGTAGTTTCACTCTACAGAAAGCGCAGAGTGATCTGCCAGAGTTTTGGCTAAGTAATGAGTTCGAACCAGCCGCAGAATGTATGTGACCCAAGTTGGCATGACAGGGAGGGCAGGCGCATGATTCGATCCTTGCACAGACCAGGTATACTACTATCCATACATGTATACCTATATACAATTATAACCATAATTTAACGGTCCTGTGAGAGAAATTGTCACACTCACAAAGTGCACGAAAAGGAAATAATTAGGCCCTCATGGAAACAAAAAACGGACAAAGCCGCACGGACGAAAGACATATGTGTATGCACGAAAGAACGCACCAAAGAAGAACATATATCGCCTCACTATAGTTTTAGTTAACTATCAGGTCTATATATATATATATATCATCCACCTCAAATCTTCTTGGCAAGCTAGATATCTTTTGGCATGATGGTGATTCTTTTGACATGGAGGTTGCTAATTTTTTGTATTCGAGTCACGCAAACTACTGGTGCACTACTGCCTATTCGAAGCTGCTCAAAGCACTGCTATGCTAGTATTGCAGGAGGCTGAGGAATTTTACATTGTGGGGTTGTTATTCCAAGATGCATACATTTGTTCTATTTATGCCACACGAGTCACTATGTTTGCAAAAGGATATTCAGCTCACTAGGAGCATTAGTGATGAGCGTTCCTAAAGTCATTCACGATAGTGCCCTTCCAAATTATATTTGCTATAGCCATAGAATACAGTAATCGGCGAGTTTGCCATAGCTTAACGTAATAAGTTTCCTTTAATTTCAGCTTGAACTAACTGATTTTTGGGCTCATGATTCTAGTCACAAATGGGTAACTTATCGCATGATTAATATATTCCAATATGTATTTAAAACTTAAGTAAAGATATAGCTTAGCTGGATAAGTGCTCGGTAAAGTACTGGGTTCGAGTCCTGGTGTTTCATTGTTTTTGCTTTCACCAGGATCATGCAATCTGGTGGATCTTGAATCTGGAAGGAGCTCCGGGATTTGAGCTGCCAGATCCGTCCAGAGAGTCAAACAGTCCGTAGCTCCTGATGAAACAGGGGCTGCTGTATCCAAACGAAATATTGATTCCCATGCACGAAATATTGATTCCCATGCACTCGACATTTTCGTCAGTCAGTCTGCCAAAAATGAGGCTAGCACGGATCTGTTCACTCGAATATTGACTGCTCTCACTCGAAAGTTTCGAAATGCCAAAAATGAGGCTAGCATGGATTCGTCGACTTGAATATTGACTCTCACTCAACATTTTCGCAAGTCTGCCAAAAAGGAGGCTAGCATGGATCCGTTGACTCGAATATTGACTCCCACTCGAAATTTTTGCAAGTATGCCAAAAAAGAGGCTAGCATGGATCCGTCGACTCGAATATTGACTCCCTCTCGACAGTTTCGCAAGTCTGCCAAAATGGAGGCTAGCATCGATTAGTTGACTCGAATATGGAGGCTAGCAAGGCATCCATTGACCTGGTGTCGGTAGCTCCTACTGAGCAAGGATGTGATCTGCCAAAATCTAGGCCAGCAAAGAGCCTTCGGCTGTGTGTTGGTAGCTCCTACTGAGGATGGTTGTGGTCTGCCGAAATCCAAGCTAGCAGAGAGCGTTGCTACCGACGAAGGATGTGGTGTGCCGGAATCCAAGCTAGCAGAGAGCCTTTGGCTGTGCGCTGGTAGCTCCTACCGAGAGAGGGTTGTGGTCTGCCAAAATCCAAGCTAGCAGAGAGCCTTGTATCCGTTGACTTGGTATTTTGGTAGCTCCTACCGAAAACCAAAAAGGAGGCTAGCACGGATCCGTTGACTCCTGCTCCCACTCGAAATTTTCGCAGTAAGTCTGCCAAAAAGGAGGCTAGCACGGATCCGTTGACTCCTGCTCCCACTCGAAATTTTCGCAGTAAGTCTGCCAAAAAGGAGGCTAGCACGGATCCGTGGACACATGCTCCCACTCGAAAGTTGCGCAATAAGTCTGCCAAAAAGGAGGCTAGCATGGAACCACGTTGCTAGCAAGGCATCCATTGACCTGGTGTCGGTAGCTCGAATTGCATCGAGCTAGCAGAGAAGGTCAGTCAAGGTCAAGCACTTCCTAGGCTAGATAGAGTTTTGTCAGTTGGTAGCTCCTATGGTCTGCCAGAATAGGGGCTAGCAAGACACAATAAACCTTGACTGCTTCATAGTAACAGTCCAGTCGACTCGACACCAAACCAAGATCCAAGCAATGTATTGCCTTTTTGGTTTCGCAACAAGTCTGCCAAAAAGGAGGCCACTCGAAAGTTCTGCAAGTGCCGAAAATGAGGCTAGCATGGATCAGTTGACTGGAATAATGAATCCCACTCGAAATTTTCGCAACGAGTCCGCCAAAAAGGAGGCTAGCACGGATCCGTTGAGCCTGAGCCCATCATTGAATCTGCCGGAATCCAAGCTAGCAGAGACGGTCAGTTTTGTCAGTTGGTAGCTCCTATGGTCTGCCAGATTAGGGGCTAGCAAGACACAATAAACCTTGTCAACTCGACACCAAACCAAGATCCAAGCAATGTCTCGCCTTTCTGGCTTTGCCAATGGGATCCCACCAAGACCTATTCAAACTCGTTACTCTATAAGCCCTCGAGCACCAAGGTTCCTTTATGTGGAGCACCCACTTTTCCAAGCGGGACCGAAACCAAGTGGAGCCCCGCCACTGGATCTGTCACTACAAAACACAGATTACTAACCAAACCAACAAAAGCATAAACTAATATCATCTCTGTATCGAGCTCATCAAGACAAGCACTATTGTGCTTGGAAGTAAGTCAATCAGAGCTATATTCAAAAAGTTACATCCCCACAAACATCCCTACAAGTCATCGCGCGAATCAGTGATTGCCATTCCAGAGAATTCCAGTCATCCCACGTATACCCTGGTACTGTTTCTACAGAGGAGTCATTATCCAAAACGCCAATCACCCAACAACCAAATCACAAACAACAACAGGAAAATTCGAAGATATCGAGTTGTCTTGTTTCGCCCATCGAGACGCTGTTTGCCACTCCAAGAAATAGTCCCCGATCTAACTCCTGTCCATAGGAATAGAATAGGAACTGCATCTGTCAGTCGCAACGAGCATCCTAGCAGGCATTCCAAGACGAACGACCGAATCGGAAGACAAGGAATTCATTCTGTTTGCTCAGAAGAAATCGAGCTGATAATCCTTTGCTCAGCCATTGCAAATTACTTTCTGCTCAGTACATTCTCGACAACAAGAACACCGGCCTAGTCCATCCCCACGCGAAGCCAGCCAACCATCCGAGTCGTACACGTACCTCTATCGGCCGATCGATCGAACTACTGACTGATTCCGATAGAAGCACCTTTCGATTTCCCGATTGCCAAGCAAGAACTCAGTATCTACACTACTCACCACACACAGTGAATCGGTAGAAACTATCTTCCTGCTACGCAACAAGGATATTCGGTGAACTCGAGTTGCAAGAACAAGAATTTGGCGCCATCCCTCATTGCAGAGTACCACCACGGGCAGGCAACAACATCTCATTCTTCCAACGACCAATCACGACTACTACACAGTACCTCCTATACGATCGTACACAAGAATCAACACACGCAGTACAGAAGCACCAGCTCTCCCTCATTCAAAACAGTGAAGATCGGGCAAGCAAATACTTCTCCACTGTGTACACGAATTCTCTCGGCAAAATCCACTCGAACCAACCTATCTCCACAACCAGACGGAGTTAGAAGGATCCAAGGACACACACAGCAAGCTCTCAACCAGCTCTATCCAACAGGAACATTGAACGCTAGCTAGCACTGACTTCAAACTCTCTAGCCAACAGGAAACATCTCGCAAGAACCCTTGCCTACAAGAAATTCCCTTGCCCACAAGATATTTCACAAGATGGCATCCAAGCAGCAAGCATCTATGGATGACTACCTCTCTTCCTCCCAAGCCTCCGACGGGAAGTTCAGGAGCAAACAAAAAGACAAGAACAAGAAGAAGGCAGCAACCAAGACCAACAAGAAGACATCCAACAGTGCAAAGAACAACAAACCACCCAAAATCCCCAATCAGGACATCAACTCCAAGCCCCCAGAAGATATCCCCATTGAAAACATGAGTGTTGCATCCAGCCTCTCACCACAACCAACTCCTACAGACCACCACAACAGCAAAAAGAAGTACCCCGGAGCAACCCTAGAAACAACAGTGCGCAAACAAAGGAAAAGAACAGCCCAAAGCGCACCACCAAGGCAACCAAGAAACCCCAAGACACCAAAAGACAC